ATGCCTATGATAGCTACATTATCCCTTAAACAATAAAACTTGAAAATCAAAATTACTGGGGCCAGTAGTGGCGTAGTGGTTAAAGTGCTGGACTCCACACTCCAAAATATCAAAGAACAGACTTACTAGGAGCTGATGCATGTGGGGAGTTTAACTTGAAGCCAGTAGTTTACTTACCATTCTAAAAATCCTAGAGCCCAGAACAAACATAACATTTACCTATTAATTACATTTAATCTATTCTCTCTGTAGTCTGTAAATAGAACAGAGCTGGACAAAAGCCTATCTGCTTACAGTATGGTTTACTAATATTTTAAGCCCCTGGTTGAGATGTGCTCAGAAAAAAAAAGATTGCTTTCAAAATATTACTAATCAGGGACCAGCAGTGAGCGTAATGGCTATGTCAATGGACTCCCATGTAGTTGACCACGGTTCGAGTCCCGGACCCGGTGGCTTAAACTCACGACGGGCACGTGTGCGTGTGTGCCCAAGATCCTGAGAGGAGAATGGAGGAGAAGGGATTGCGGTGTGGCCATTCCCCCTGGGGGGGGGGGTGATTTCTCGCTTTCTGCCTCTCTGTCTCTCTCTGGCCTTCTGGCAAGCGCACAAGCGCACACACCGTATAGCAAAAACCTCTCAAAAAAAAAAAAAAAAAAAAACCATGAATCATAAAAAATTTGACAGTCCTGGGGCCAGCAGATGGCATATTGGTTGAGGTGCTAGACTCTGACATGGTCGACTGTGGTTCTATTCTCAGACCCAGAGACTTGAAACTCAAGCTGACAATGAGTGCCTGTGTGCCCAAAGTCCTGTCAGGAGAATGGAAGAAAAGGGATTGTGCTGTGACCATTCCCTCTGGGGGATGATTTCTTACTTCCTGTCTCTCTTGTCTCTCCAGCGTGTATACTCTCCCACACTCTTCTATAGCAAAAATCTCTCTCTCAAAAAAAAAAAAAAAAAATGACAGTCCCCATTGCAAGGTTTAAATGTTCCCTTGGGACCAGCAGATAGTGTGATGGTAGTTGCAGGACTCCTACACAGTTGACTGTGGTTCGACTTCCAGATCTGGCAGTTTAAAACTCACAGTGGGTGCATGTGCATGCGTGCCCAAAGTCATGAGAGGAAGATGAAAGAGGAATTGCAGCATGGCTATCCACCCCTCCTCCTGGGGCGGGGGATTTCTCACTTTCTGTCTCTCCGTCTCTGTCTCTCTGGCAAGTGTGTGCTCCCTATAGCAAAAATCTCACTGAAAAGATAAAAATAATAAAAGGATTAAATGTTCCCCAAGCACCTTAGGGATGAAAATGGGTTAACACATGGGGACCAGCAGGTGGCATGATGGTTATGGTGCTGGACACTCCCACATGGCTGACTAGGGTTCGAGTCCTGAATCTGGTGGCTTGCTTTCTCACTTCCTCTCTCTCTCACTCTCAGTGTCTTTATCTGGACTAAATAAATAAATAAATAAATAAAATAATTATAAAAAAAAATAAAAAGGAAAGAAAATGGGTTAACACAGTGTCTTCCTGCCACCTTAGATATTTTATTTGGTAAGGTCTAAAACTCCCAGGTGCTTCAGAATTCTTTCTCCTCCTTTTTTCTTCCGAAGTTAGTTGGTCTTTTCTTGATTTCATCACAAATAGGCGACCTTATATTTTCTAAGTTTTCCCTTCAGACATAAAGATTGTCACAGTTGGCACCAAAACTAAAGACAGAATACACAGCAGACTATAGCAGCTGGATATGACAACAAACAACCCAAGGACCAACAAATGTCTGTTCCAGAATCACCCCAACTACCCAAAAAAGCCCCTTTTTCTTAAGTACTAATAAAAGCTCCTTGTTCCCACCCTCCAGATCGACACAACTCTCCCCATCTGGTCCCTTTGCACTACTGGAAAGAGAATAAATTCTCTCTGAGCTTGTGAATTGTTTCACAGCCTATAACCAAGGTCACCTAACATACTACAGAGGTCACCCTCACACTGATAACATGAACCAAAAATGTAAAACAGAAATAAGCTAGTAAAGTATAATACTTACAAGTGAAATTTTGCAGAATATTCTTGGCCAGTATGGAAGAACTCCTTTTACAATTTCTGTGTCTCTCTCTGTACACATGGTTCCAAATTCCTGCATAGCCTAAAAGTAATTATTAACATCATTAAGATTTATAGTGATAATACAGGGTTTTGATTATATTTATACTGTTTTGGAAACTTATCCATTGTATGTAAAGAAAGAATATATTATTTCTGTTTGTGCCATATGAGACTAATCTGAAAGTTTCTTCGCAAGCTACTGTGTTACAAACTTTTCAGTTCTGGGGCCAGCAAGTGGCACGGTGTGAAGGCACTGGATTCCCACATGGCAGACCAAGGTTCAAGTCCCAGACCAACAGCTTGAGAATCATGCCAGGCATGTGTGCCTACATGCCCAGAATCCTGAGAGAAGAATGGAGGAGAACAGATTGTGGCATGGCCATGCCCCACTAGGGGGTGATTTCTCACTTTCTCTATGACTCTGTCCAAAGAACACATGTACCCTATGGCAAAAACTAAAATAATAAATAAACTAAAAAACTTTTCTTCTTTTCCTTTTTTTTTTTTTTTTTGGCAAGAGATTTTTGCTATAGGGCTGGGCCATATGTGCTCACTAGAGAAACAGAAAGAAAGTGAGAAATCACACCGTGGGGGTGGGGGCAAGGTCATCCTGAAATCTCTGACCCTTTATTCTGCTCTCAAGATTTTGGGCGCACATGCACCCGATGCAAGTTTTAAGCCACCAGGTCTGGAACTCAAACTGCAGTTGACTACATGGGAGTCTAGGGACATAACTATTATGTCATCTGCTGGTCCCTCGTTTCTTTTATGAAAATAAGTAAGTGTGTGGGGCCATCTGGTGGCATGGTGGTTAGGATGACTGGATCCCATATGGCCAACTGCATAGTTCAAGTCCTGGACATGGCAGCTTGGAAATACACCAAGCACGTGTGCATGCCTGCTCAAAATCCTGAGAGAAGAAGGGACTATAGTGTGGCTATCTTCCCTGGGGGGTGCTTTCTCACTTTCCCTCCTCTCCCACCTCACAGCGCACATGCCCTACTACAAATTAAAAGTAAATAAATAAAATGTGTAAAAATAAAAAAAATCATTTAATAATTTTAATATTAAAATTAAATACATAATGGGAAAAACTGTATAGTCGAAAATTCTAAAGTAATTCAAAAAGTTCAGAGCAAAAACTACTTTATGGGGCCAGCAGGTGGTGTGGTGGTTACAACACTGAACTCCCACATGGTCAATCATCTTTTGAGCCCCAGACCTGGCAGCTTGAGAACTGGGTACATATGCACATGCATGGCCAAACTCCCAGGAGGAGACTGGAGAAAGATCTGAGGCATGGCCACCCACCCAGGGAGTGATTTCTCACTTTCTTTCTCAATGTCTTTCTCTGTCTCTCTCTGACAAGCACACATACCCTGCAGAAAAAATTCTTAAAAAAAAAAAAAAAAAAGAAATTAATTTAAGACCCAGAAGATAAATGTTGACTAAGCTTAAGACTATGTTAAGAAAGGTACAATGTAAAAGATCCTATTGCAGATAAATGTTTTATTTTTCTTTACCAAGAATATAACAATATTTTGTTTTAACAAAAATATTTTCCTGATCATTTTTATGAAAAGATGAAAACTTGCTTTTAATTTTGTTGTAACATCTTTCTTGGAAAGTTTTCGCAGCACCATTCGGAAATCAGAATCTACAAGACTGTCTATTTCTTCAGCTCCTTGAATAGCAGGTACATAACCTAGGTCACTGTGAGATGTTCCAAAACCAATAAATCCAGGCACCGTTCCCTGTTCTTTAGCAAGGAGTTCTGCAGCTCGGCCACTGTTGGAAGGCTGATAAAAGCAAGGAGAAAAAAGGTCAGGAAGAATTCAAAATTTAATTTTATAATTCCTTGATAATTAATATGATGAAAATAAACTTTTATTTAACCACTTTTTTTCTAGCCTAAGATTTCATCTATTCTCCAAAGACAGATGTTTTTGTCACTAGAATCTATCAATAATAATCCTAGAAGCTACTTTCTGGTTTCCTAAATATTAGAGCACTATTTTTTTAAACTGTAGATATAACCTATCACTGGCTCATGATATCAGCATAAAGAACTATGACAGAATTTCAAAGAATGAAATAAACTTTAAAAATCAAAATGTATCACTCTTATAAATATCATTTTATGACATTTTGTACTTTCAACTTTCACATAGACACTATGTGTGTATGCTGATAAAAGCAAGGAGAAAAAAGGTCAGGAAGAATTCAAAATTTAATTTTATAATTCCTTGATAATTAATATGATGAAAATAAACTTTTATTTAACCACTTTTTTTCTAGCCTAAGATTTCATCTATTCTCCAAAGACAGATGTTTTTGTCACTAGAATCTATCAATAATAATCCTAGAAGCTACTTTCTGGTTTCCTAAATATTAGAGCACTATTTTTTTAAACTGTAGATATAACCTATCACTGGCTCATGATATCAGCATAAAGAACTATGACAGAATTTCAAAGAATGAAATAAACTTTAAAAATCAAAATGTATCACTCTTATAAATATCATTTTATGACATTTTGTACTTTCAACTTTCACATACTATGTGTGTATACACACACACACACACACCTAAAATGCATACTATATAATGACTAGTTTTATATGCATACTATATAAAATTAATTCATAAATAGATCCTATCTTTTCATTCATCTGATCATTCAATAAGCATTAATTAAAGCAATCACAACAGGTCTAATGATAGCTGCTTTTAGACTGTGAGTTCTTTGAGAGTAGATACACTCATATTCCCACCCAAACCCTAGCTTAACCTCTTTAGGCTAAAATCCCATTATTATGGATATAAAAAACAACACAATGGTCAAGATATAATACATCCTCCTTGGGAGCCAGATGTTAGTACAGCAGTAAACATTCTGCAAGGCATACGTACACGTCAAGTACCAGTTCATGTCCAGAGACCTCCCTGAATCCAATAGGCTGACTGAAGCCAGGGATGGATAGCAGCAAGACCCTCTCACGGGTGCTATATTTCTGACTGTCTCTCTCTCTCTCTCATTCATGTAACAAACAAACAAGTAAAAACACATGCACATTCCCATATGCATACTCACACATTCCTGTATTTTGAACAACAGTCAATGGTTTGACAGACACACGACACAACATTCTTCTCCTAGTACTAAGTTGGGTTGTTATATAGAAAAAACATTTTTTGAAGTACTGAAATCAGCTTATTGTCATCTAAGGGGAAAATGCATCAGTTTGACCACAAGATGATAATTACAGCCCACATAAACCCCTCTATTTCTTATTTCTTTAAAAGGATGTTTGCCTAGGATTATTCAAATATGTGATTCAAATAGTTCATTCCAAACAAAATTGCATGTGGGAAACTCATCTAATAATGAATAAACTGGCCTGCTTTCTAAATGGAACTGAGTGACCAGTAATGAAAATGACTGCCTAAATTATACTTTTGCAAACTATAATACTTAAGACTAATTGCAAAAAAGTTGTCTTATTATTTATTTTTAAGAGTTTTTTTGGGGCGGGCCTCATGGTGTGTGCACTCTCCATGGAGAGACAGACAGAGACAGACGGAAAATGAAATCACTCCCCAAGAGGAATGGCCATGCCACAATCCCTTCTCCTCCATTCTCCTCCAGGGATCTTAGGCACACACACACAAGTACCCAGTGTGATTTTTAAGCCACCAGGTCCAGAATTTGAACCAGTATGGGCTATGTGGGAGTCCAGTGACATAACTGCTATGCTATCTGCTGATCACAAAGTTACCTGTTTTAAAACTTTATTAAAATGACCTAACATTAAACAGCTCACCTTTCTTGATACTGGTACATGAATTTAAAAAATAAGGATATGGGACCAGTAGTTAGTGTAATGGCTATGTCGCTGGACTCCCATGTAGTCGACCGCAGTTTGAGTCCCGAATTCGATGGCTTAAATTCACGCCAGGCACTTGTGCATGTGTGCCCAAGATCTCAAAAGGAAAATGGAGGAGAAGGGATTGCGGTGTGGCCATTCCCCCTGGGGAGTGATTTCTCACTGTCTTTCCGGCAAGCGCATGCGCCCTATAGCAAAAACCTCTAAAGAAAAATAATAAATAAGGATATAAGTTAATTAAAATTCTGAAAACTAAATATGAATACATTAATGTATCAGAATTGTATCTATAATCTCATTTGTGAGCAATTTTATTATGAAACAGAATACATGATTAATTATTGTGGGCCAGCCAGTAGGGTGGTAGTTAAGGCAGTTAAGATTCCCATAGGCCAACTGTGTGGTTTGAGCCCCAGATCTGACAGCTTGAAAAATATGCCAGGAGCAAGCCCAAAATCCTGAGAAGAGTCTGGTGGAGGAAGGGCTGTGGTGTGGCCGTGCCCCCCTGGAGGGTACTTTCTCACTTTTTCTGTATCTCTTCAGTGAGTGTAAGAGTCCTCTAGCACATAAAAATAGTAATAATAATAACTATTATTATTATACTAAAACCTCATGGACTCCAGAATGAATTCCAACTAACCTGAAATACCAGAGCCGAACAACCATAACTGAGAGCAGAAGAAAAAGTATCAGATTTTCCAATGAGAGTAGCAAATTATTTTAAAACCTACTAAATGTATCTTTTACTCAATGTCTACTTTGAATTTAAAATATAATTACTGTTAAAATCTCTGTATGTTACATGTTTATACTCACAGTTCAATAAAAATTAACAATGTTGACTCTACTTGTGGCATTTAATTTTTCTTCTACAGCAACTATTTGTCTAATTCTTTTGTGCCTGACTTCTGGCAGTATCTAACATTGAATACCAAGACTATGGTTTAAAGACTGACCTAAGAAAGATTTATAAGCTCTCTCACCATCCTCCCTCAACTTTTCTCAGTCTTATTTCCTGTCATTCCTTCACTTGCCCCACTTCCCCCTTCTGGCTCCCAATTATGTTGCCATCATTCATGTTCCAGTCCCAAACTGAATTAGAGGTTCCTTGAATATCCTATACCTGTTCACAGTCTGATCTTTGTATAATCTTATCTCCCCACCTAAAAATCCTTCCTTCCTACAAATTCCCTTTTTACACACTCCTACTCATTCCTCAAAACTTTCACGTTTACAACACTTGTCTATCTCAGGTCAACTGCCATTCTTTCTGTTTTCCCATGTTCTTTCTGCTCACACTTGTATAATTCTTTTTTTTTTTTTATTTGGGAGGTTTTTGCTATAGGGCACGTGCACTCGCCAGACAGACAGAGAGAGACAGAGAGACAGAAAGTGAGAAATCACCCCCCCAGGGGGAAGGGCCACGCTGCAATCCCTTCTCCTCCATTCTCCTCTCGGGATCTTGGGCACACACGCACACGCGCCCGGTGTGAGTTTTAAGCCACCAGGACTGGGACACGAACCGCAGTCCACTACGTGGGAGTCCAGCAACATAGCCATCACGCTAACTGCTGGTCCCAATACTTGTATCATAATTCTTCAACAAAGTGTTTGTTTTTCTGTTTGTATCACGGAACTAACAGTTCAATAACAGTGGACATTTCTCTATACCTTTGAATACATAGCATGTAGTATTCAAAATCTTCTGTTGAGGGGCTAGCAGGCAGCACAGTGGTTAAGGCACTGGACTCTCATGTGGCCAACTGAAAGTTCAAGTACCAGACCCGGCGGCTTGAAACTGACATTGGGTGCAGGTGTGCCCAACATCCCAAAAGGAGAATGGAAGAGAAGGGATTGTAGAGTGGCTATCCTCCTTGGGGGTGATTTCTCGCTTTCTGCCTCTCTGTCTCTCTGTCTGGCGAGTGCATACATCCTATAACAACAACAACAAAAACTTCCTGTTGAATAAGTGACTGTTACTCTGATTTCAAATATTAAATCAGCAACTTCCTGGCTAAATTAACTTAGGCAAGTTAATTTCTCTAAACTTCAGTTCTATCACCATTTTTTATTTTTTAATTTCCAGAGGGGACATATAGAAAGAAAGGAGGGAGACGGAGCAAACATGACAATCCATTTTCTTCCACTTCTCCACCCTGTCAGGACTTTGGCAATGCACACACACACATGCCTGCCGTGTTTCTCAAGCCACCAGGACCAGGATTCCAACTGCATGGTCAGCCACTTGGGGTCTGGTTCCTTAACTGTTAAGCATGGGGGCCAGCATTCTATCATCTTTAAAATGAGTAAGAATAACCATCTCATTATTTCAGTTGCCGTCAAGCTTAAACTTAAGTTGTTGTGTGTGTTTTTATGTTTTTTGCCACAGGGCACGTGTGTTTGCTGGAGATAGAGACAGAGACAGAGACAGAGAGAGAGAGAAGGCATCCCCCTGAAGGAGTTGGCCACACTGCAATCCCTTCTCCTCCACATGTACACGCCAGCATGATTTTCAAGCCACCGGGGGTCAAGGATTTGAACCAAGGTCGATCATGTGGGAGTCCAGTACCTTAACCACAATACTATCTGCTGGCCCCAAATGAACACTTTTAAGCCCCCATAGTAATCATTGACTCTAGCAAGGATTATCAAAGGGTGCTAAAATCACTGAGTGAAAGTCTGTGGACAAACAGGATATTTATTATTAAGCTTTGCGCTGTCACTGTACCAGTTATTAACCAATAGAAAAAGGTGGCTTTATAACGGACACTTTAACCAAGTGAATAAACAAACATCTTTAATAATGGGACAGAGGTATCATATACCCCTGGTGTCATGCACAAAGACCCAACATTTATGAAACATTCCTACCCAAACTGCAGGACCAAAATCTAATCATAAGGAACAATTAGACAAATCTAAATTAAGCAAAGCCATTGGTCCAGAATCTTGCAAACTCTCTATGTCATAAAAGATACTCCCCTACCCTGCGAAAAAAAAAAAAGCCAAGCAAGCCCTGGGAAACTGTCTAGACCAAAGGAGCTGAAATGATAATCAAATGGAATGAGTGATCCTTGACTTAATCTCAGTTTTTTAAATGTATATCTTCAGAAAAAAGTTATAGAAAACATTATTAAGATGACTAAAGAAATCTAAGTATATAAGACTATGTTATAGTATCATGCCCAAATTAAGTTTCTGCATATATAACTGCCCATGGTTACAGAGAAAAATGGCATTTTTGTGAATATATATGTTGATGTATTTGGGAGTTAACTCTCATACACCGTAGTTCAAAAAAAAGCAAGTCCCCTATTATCCACACGGCATATGTTCCACAACCTCCAGAGCATCCTAGAAAGTGTAGATAGACAGGGACCAGCAGTTAGAGTATTGGCTATGCTGGTGGACTCCCACGTAGTAGACCATGGTTCGAGTCTTGGTCCTGGTGGCTTAAATTCATGCTGGGCATATAGTGCGTGTGTGCCCAAGATCCCAAGAGGAAAATGGAGGAGACAGGATTACAGCATGGTCATCCCCCCTGGGGGGGTGGTGATTTCTCGCTTTCTGTCTCTCTGTCTCTCTCTGTCTTTCTGGCGAGTGCACACACCCCATAGCAAAAATCTCTCCAAAAATTAAAAAAAAGAAACTGTGGATTGTGCCAAACCCTATATATACCATGTTTTTCCAATCTGATAATGAAGATGCGTAGTCCATTACTAAAGAGTATATTCATGGGAAAAAGAGATGATTCATGTTCCAGGCTGGAAGGAGCAGGGCCATGTGATATTTCACTACTTAGCACAGTATATAATTTAAAACTTATAATTTGTTTATTTCTGGAATTTTACATTTAATATTTTCTGAACATGGTTAACCACAGGTAACAAACTTAAGAAAATGAAGCCATGGAAAAGGAGAGACTACTATACATAAATTAAGAAAGAAAAAGCAAATGTGACCAAATGTTAACAATTGGAAAAAAAAATTGTTAAAAAAACTAGATAAAAAATATATATAGGTGTTACTCTAATAGTCTTTCAACTTCTCATACTAAAAAACTTTCAGAAATAAAACACTGAAAGAAGTTAATTATAAAGTAAAATTTAATGAGAATGCAAGTGCTTAATACAGTTCTTATCTCTTATTAAGTTCCTATAATACTTGATATTGTTATTACTTTCTAGATTGACGACCTAAGAAAATATGTTAGTGAAATCACTAACTGGATCAGAAACAAGTAAAAAAAAAAAGTATGCCCATAAATTTGGCCTATGTTAAAACAAACTTAGTGCCATGAAAAATACCATTATAATATCCCTGATCATGTCGGTTTAAATGAATCCACTTTAGAATCTTTCTTAAACAGCATTTAGTGAGCTTCTTCTATATGCCAGTCCCTGTATCAAGGATAACAGAAGCTGATTTAAAAAACAAAAACAAAAACAAAACACCTGCTTTCGAAGTACTTACATAACACCTGCTTTCGAAGTACTTACATTCTAGTGAAACTAAAGAGTAAGTTACATAGCATGTTGAAGTCATAAATGCAATGGAGTAAAACACATAGAAGGCGGAAATAACAGGGAGTCGGGAGGATTACAATTGAAAACAAGGGATCAAGAGAGACCTCACTGAGGTAGAGGTCTAGAGCAGTATCTGGAGCCACCAAGAAAAGGGTGTCAGGAACATTCCAGGCAAGAACAAGGCACGATGAACAGGTCACTGTGGTTGGATGGAGTGAGTGACAAGAAAACTGAAATGGGTCTGGAGATAGACAGACAGCCTGACCATAAACCGTGTATACCAGGTAAGGTCTTTGGCCTTACACCCGGGATGTGGGCAGTCACTGCAGGTATCTGAGCAGACATGATCTGAGCTGTCTTGCACACCAGGCTCACTTTAACTTCGTCTCACCCAACTGGCCTAGTTCTCAGCGCCGCCCCTAACCCTACGCTATCTGGGCAAGGTAACATTCCACTTGGATATGCCACTGAACCACTGCCTAAAATTATGGATGTGCGATCAGGCGAGGACAACTGTAGCATGGAACAACTTCTTTCTTACAATTTCCCAATGCGTTCAGAGATAACTCATTACGCCCGTCGGGGCCGCATACACGAGAGGTCACACTCGACATGCAAATACACGCCTCCCCACAGCCGCGCTCCGCACACGCTCCCGGCCACGTTCGAAGAGAAGCCAGCAGCCGCGAGGCGAGGACTGCTCGTCTGCCAGGCCGTCTCATACTCACCCGCAGGTTCCCCTTGGTGCGCTGCCTTTTTTTTCCCCCCGTGGTGGGGGGACCCAGCCGCCCTCTCCGCAAGCAACCCCAGGTTGACACCGTCGGGCCACAACTTCCGGTCCCTCACGCCGGAAGAGGGTTACTGTAATAACTTCCCCTGGCCCTCCTTTTCCGCCACCCACCCCGCCCACCTGCAGCCCCACTTCCGTTCCCGCCTCCCCTTGGGCCCCTGACCATCCCCCGCCGTTGACGTCATAATTAAAGTCACGCCTGTTTGAGTGACGCCACTTTGGGCCAATAAGAAGTCAAGCATTAAACTCGTGAGGCCAACTCCTGTCTGCTGCCCTTTTGAAAGTGGGTTGTTCCCGGCTTGGCGGATAGAAAATTGGTATTAGTGGAAAGATGGGCAGTTTCTCTTAAGGGTAGCAATGGAACGATATGGTAGTGGCCGTGGGAAGTTAGGTAAATATTAGACTTTTAAAGTCACGTAATCGTCAGCATCCCTTGGACATTTGTTAAAAGGACTCTCAGGCCTGTCTTTATACTAGTGAATCAGAGTCTGATTTTTACGGTATTCCCAGTTTTTGTTAAAATTTGAGTAGTGCGCCAGGCAGTATTTTCTCTCAATTCTCCCTCTCTTTTTCCTCCTGTATCGACACTTGGCAAATCAGTTTTTAGAAACGAAGGACCAGCAGTTAGCGTAATGGCTATGTTGCTGGACTCCCACGTAGGCGACTGCGGTTCGCGTCCTGGACCCGGTGGCTTAAAACTCACGCCGGGTGCGTGTGCGTGCGTGCCCAAGATCCCAAGAGGAGAATGGAGGAGAAGGGATTGCGGCGTGACCATCCCCCCTGGGGGGTGATTTCTGGCTTTCTGTCTCTCTGTCTCTCTGGCGAGCGCACGTGCCCTATAGCAAAAACCTCTCCAAAAAAAAGAAAGAAAGAAAGGTAACGTGGCAGTTTATTAAAAGGTACAGATCCTTAATTTAGTAATCTGCTTGAGTGATTGTTTCTTAGACTCCTTCTGAAAGAACAATTATATGTGTGCTGGTTATTCTCTCATGTCCACATCTTTTTATACTCAACTCCATGGTACTGGGCCTCTACAAACTGTTTCTTTTATTGAGCCTGCTTCCTATTGGGTTCCATGAAGGAGAATGGGTGGAACTATAGTATTAATTGATGGAGGCTGGAAGTCAAGAGGAAGGAAAAGGGACTTGTTCCCTTCTGTTAGCATCGACCCAGAAGCAGCATTTCACCTTAACAGCGATTGCTTTACCAGTGGTTGGTTTGGGTCTACATCTTTTCCCCAGCAATCACAGAAGCAGCGTTACTGCACTCCTCAGGAGGACTAGTGACGCAGGGACGATAGTGTAGGGGTGATCGGGTCGCAGCGGGCCATGGGTTCTTGTCTCTCACTCGTGAAGAATTAGAGCATGGACACAGAGAGGGGATAGCGAGTGGAGATCTTATCGAAGGAAAGGGAAGGAGGATTGGGGGGGAGGCAATGGGCTACCAAAGAAGCGAGGGGTTTTTATCTGGTTCAGAGGGGCTTCATTCTGGCTTCTGTTTTTTATTTAGGCTTATTTAGTCTCTGAGAAGCTGACTTTATGTGAGAAGGAAGGAGCAGTTTGCAGAAAGATTATCTTATTTTTTAAATTTTATTTATGTTTACTTAACAAAAAGCTTATTATGAAAATGTACGTGACCTGATTTTTACATCATGGTAAAAATGGGCCTGTTGACAAGGGGACATGGGTTTTTCTGTTGAACAGCCATTATTTATACTCGTTCCAAGGCTTCTAACGTTGTACTATTTCCTCGTATTACCACCATTCCAATATTGTTGTTGCCCACTAGTTGCCATCTTCACACATTCATCTATCACAAGATTCATAAATGGATCAAATCCCCGCAATATTCCTTGGACATGTCTGAGACCATTTAATTTTAATGGCAACTTCTTGTCCATAAATTTTTTCAATTCAGGAGGGTGAGCCTCTTCACGTTCCCGCGGCAGGCCCGGCGCGGCAGGCCCGGCGCTTTGCATCTGACCAAGACCAGCTATCTTATTGACGAGAAATGCCAGCTAATTAACAAGCTTAGTGCTTGCAGCTAGTGAGTCCTACATTGGGAGTGCCATTGTAAAATGGGGGAAATGAGTGGTATTATGTAAATTCCTAGGTTCTTTAGGTCCAAGTCTCTAAGATTAGAGACCTGATATGAGTCACAGAATGAAGAACCAGAAACACATGTGAAATAGGAAAAGTTTTAATAGAAAAGTAAAAAGATCTGTAATTAAAAAGAAATACACCCTTATTATGCTGGAAAGGCATGCCACAGAAGGACAAGTGCATTGCATGTAGGTCTAGGTGTTACTTTTAGTTTCTAAGAATTGGTAATGAATATATAGCAGGGGAAGGTCTGTCACAGTATCTGCCTTCTTTGAAATCTATTGGCTTTTTCCTGTACTTGCATATCTCTCAGGTGAGGAATTCCATTATCCAATCAAGTATGTCCAGTGTGGTCTTTGAAGGTCTGAGCATTCATATCTGGATAAGCTTCCCAATTAGTTTATTGCCACAATGGGAATCAGGATGTTAACTTAACATCCTATCCCAGTGGTGAATTTCTGTGTATATATTTCGGATGGCAGAAGGGAGGATAACAATGTTCCCAGAGCCAGAAGCTGAGAGAAAGGAAGGACTTCTCCACGTGGGTCTGATTCTAACTCCTGTAAGTTGGGATTGAGGTAGTATGTCCTTCTGCTATAACCTTAGGGTTGGTCACTCATTTCTAGCTAACTGCCTACTACAATATCAACACTGGTCTTTTTTTTTTCTTTTTGAGAGATTTTTTGCTATAGGGCCCGTGCGCCTGCCAGACAGAGACAGAGAGACAGAAAGCAGGAAATCACCCGCCAGGGGGGATGGCCATGCCGCAATCCCTTCTCCTCCATTCTCCTGTCGGGATTTTGGGCACGCACGCACACGCGCCTGGCGTGAGTTTTAAGCCACTGGGTCCGGGACGCGAACCGCGGTCGACCACGTGGGAGTCCAGTGACGTAGCCATTACGCTAACTGCTGGCCCCTCAACACTGGTCTTGAAATCTGCTTATTTGATGTGTGTGTGTGTGTGGGGGGGGGGTCTCTTTATCCTGCAGATGCAAGAGTAAACTATTACTCGAGGTCTTTTGCTTTTTTGTTTAGCTGTCATCTCAAGCAAGCTGTAAGCAGCCCTGGTTGTAAACAGTTCTGTGCAAGCAAGCAGTGAGAGCTAATACTTGATTTCCAATGAAACAGTGGATTCTGATTAAAGGCTTGACCAAAATAACTCCATCTTATAAGCTGACTCTATCTTAATGTGTGTATCCATTTCCTGTCATAGTGACCCTTCCTTGGAGATCCTGCCCTATTTACCTACTCGCTATGTCAAACTCCTATCTCACTAGCAAGCAGCCAGGCACTTCTCCTCAGAGCCTAGTTCCTTGGACTCTAAGATAACTGTGGTGGGGCCAGCAGGTGTCTGGTGGTTGGGGCACTCGACTCTTTCTGTCTCTCCGGTGAGTGTGTGTGCCCTATACCAAATTTAACAATAAAGATAATAAATAATTTTTTAAAAAATTTTAAAACCTAGCTAATGGTGCCCACTCCTCAGATGCTTTAGACCCATACACCAAGGGATTCTTTCTTTGAGCTTGAGAGGACCAGCAACAGCTGGCCATCACTCTCTCTTCCTAGACCTAAACTGAGCTTCTCAGGACCCTACAAGCTTCAAGCTTCTAAGTTCTGTTTGACCCAACCTCTTCTTCCCATACTTCTTTACCTGGCTCTAGGGGCAGTGATTCTTTTCTTTCTTCTTCTTCTTCTTTTTTTTTTTTTTTAAGATTTGCTATAGGGTGTGTGCGCTCACTAGAGAAACAGAGAGACAAAAAGGAAGAAATCACCTCCCAGGGGGAATGGCCCTGCCACATACCCTTCCCCTCCTCTCAAGACCTTGGGCATGCACACATGCACACACACACACACACACACACACACACACACACACACCCCTAGCATGAGTTTTAAGCTATCAGGTTTGAGTCTCAAACTGCAGTCAACCACATGCAAGTCCAGTGATGTAAGCCTATGCCATCTGCTGGTCCCTGTCTTTTTACTTTTATAATTCTTTTTACCAATTTTCTATGATAAATTCTTTCTCTTTAAATAACTATTATGACTTCTGTTTTGCTAACTGGACCCTGATTAAAATATGCACACAAAGAGAGCTTGTAGGATGTTCACTAAAATAGTATCCTAGGAAGATAATTGTAAACAACCTAATATGTATTCATTTGAGAATGACTAAATAGTATTCTGTAGGCTGTAAGACAGCAATTAAGAACCATTCTAGGGGACCAGCAGGTGATGTGGTGGTTAAGGCACTGGACATTCCCACATGGCCAACCATGGTTCAAGTCCTGGACCTGGTGGCTTGCTTTCTCACTTTCTCTTTCTGTGTCTCTCTGGTCAAAATAAAATAAGTAAATGAATAAATAAAATTTAAAATAATTTTTAAAAAACAACAATTTTATTTGATGCAGCATATGATGTGGTGGATAAGGTGCTGGCAGACCATGGTTTGAGTTCTGAAACTGGCAGCTTGAAAATCACACCAGGCATATGTGCATGCGTGCCCAGAGTCCCAAGAGAATGGAGGAGAAGGGACTGTAACATGGTCATCCCCCCTGGGAGGTGATTTCTCATATTCTTTTTTCTGTCTCTCTCCAGCAAGTGCACACACCCTACAACAAAAGCCTAAAGAAAAAAAAATCACATTTTTCTGTATATACACATAAATTCTGAGATAAATTATTTTTTAAAAGAATTATTTAATTTTGTTATTATATTTTTAATTTGCTATAGAGCATGTGTGCTCATCATAAAGAGCAGAGTGGGTGGGAGGAGAAGTGAGAAAGCAAGCTAGCCAGCTCTGGGACTTGAACTGCAATCAGCCACGTGGGAGTACAGAACCTTAACCACCACACCACCAGCTGGCCCTCTGAGATGTATTCTTAAATAAAACCAAATTGCAGGAGGTTGGACAGTGGCATGGCAGTAATGGAAAACTCTACCAGTCTGACCCATATAAGGAGCTTCTGGTTTGCATCCAGAGACTTCACCACGTACTCCAGGCACACCCATTCTCATGATCCAGGACTGGCTGAGACTAGAGTCAAGATCATGGAGTCAAGACCCTGTTGAGAATGCTGTATCTCCTCCATTCTCTTCTTGGGATTTTAAGCATGCAAGCACACAAACCCAGCAAGTTTTTCAAGTCACAGGGTCCAGGACTTGACTGCATAGTAAGCCATGTGGGATCCAGCCACCTTAACCACCACATCAGCTATCTGTCCCTCTTTTCAAGTTTTCCTATAACACCATTTTTTAGAACTGGTTTGGGCACTTTACTCAGAAGTGGGATTTCTGGATCAAATGGTAGTTCTATTTGTAGATCTTTGAGGAACCTCCATATTGTTTTCCACAGCAGCTGAACCAATTTACATTCCCACCAACAGTGAAAGAGCGTTCCCCTTTCACCAAAGCCCTGCCAACACTTACTATTTTTTGTAGTTTTAATCCTTACCATTCTGACAGGGGTTAGGTGGTATCTCATAGTGGTTTTAATCTGCACTGCTTTATGATGAGGTACATTGAGCATTTCCTCATTTTATTTTATTTTTTTTGGCTGTTTGTATGTCTTCCTTAGATTTTGTTCAGCTCATTTTCCCATCTTTTAATTCGGTTAATCTTTTTTTTTTTTTCTCAAGTAAGCTGCTTGAGTTCCCTGTGTATTCTCGTTAACAATCCCTTATCTGAGGCATAGTTTACAAAAATATTCTCCCATTTTGAGGGTTGTTGATTCACACTAATTACTGTGTCCTTTGCTGTGCAGAAGCATCTTAATTTGATATAGTCTCATTTGTCTATTTTAGGTATTATTGCAGATGCTTTGGGAGTCCTATTTTAAAAGTGTTTGCCTACCCCAATGTTTTCCAGAGTTTGCCCATTTTCTACCATTAGTGTTATAGTTTGAGGTCTTAGATTCATATTCTTGATCCATTTTGAGTTGGTTTTTGATAATGGTGAAAGATGGGGATCCAGTTTCATCTTTCTGCAATACCCAGGTTTTCCAACACCATTTGCTAAAGAGATTTTCCTTTTCCCACTGGATCAACTAGTATCCTTTGTCAAAAATAGGTTGGCTGTAAGTTTTGGAGTTTATTTCTGGGGTCTCTATTCTATTCTATTGTTCCCCCTGTCTGGTTTTTGTTTTTGTTTTTGTTTTGTTTGCCCAATATCATGCTGTTTTGATTATCACATCTTTATAGTATATTTTGGGGTCAGGGAGTGGAGACAGGCCCACTCCACTCTTCTTGTGCAGGATTAGGCACTGTGTTTTAAATACCATTCTGATTCTCATTTGTGTTTAACCACCTTTATTTTAAAGATTTATCCATGGGACCAGCATATGGCATACTGGTTAAGGTGCTAGACTCCCACATAGCTGACTGCAGTTTGAATCATGGACCTGGTGGCTTGAAACTCATGTTGGGTACCTGTGTATGCAAGCCCAAAATCCCAAAAGGAGAATGGAGGAGAAGGGATTGATTGTGGCATGGCCATCCAATCTCTGGGGGGAGGGGAGATTCTTAATTTCTTTCTCTGTCTATCTTGGGTGAGCACATGCACCCAATAGCAAAAATCTCTTAAAAAATATGATCCACATTGTCTTGTTTTATTCCAAGTTATACATTATATTATATAATATATACTCTACTTAATGATTCATTTAAAATGGAGACGTAGGCTAACTCCAACGTTTTACAAAGATGAACAATTCATCCTGTCTCATCCCAGCTCCACTCCCTAAACCAACTAATTCTTCAAGCAATTCCCTCAACACCAACATGAGTGCTATTAATTAATCATTAATAAATGGTTTTGGAGATGACTTATGAAAGTCCTTAAAAACCAGGTCATGTATTAATTTGACTGTAGACCAATTTTCTAAAAACAAGTTTACAGAAACCCATTTCTACAGCCAAAAAGGTTGTGAAAACAGTTTGTCAAAAATGAATTTTTTGGGGCCAGTCTTATAGTGTGGTGGCTAAGTGCTGAGCACTGAAAGTTGGAGCCAACATGGCCAACTATGGTTTGAATTCCAGCCCCAGAAGCTTGAAAAAAGCACACCAGGCACATGTGCATGCCCCAAATCCTAATAGGATGGAGAAACAGAGGAAAAGGGATGGCAGTGTGACCACATCCCATTAGCAGGTGCTTTCTCTCTCTTTCTGGCAAGGTTATGTACCCTCTGGCAATAAAACAAAACAAAATAAAAATGAATTATCTAAAATGCCAATTTGACAAGTTGTTGAGGCCTGTTAAAAAGTTCAAGCATGGGACCAGCAGACAGCATGATTGTTATGTTGCTGGATTCCCACGTGGCCAACCACAGTTCAAGTCTGGGACCAGTGGTTTAAAACTCACGCCAGGCACTTGTGTGTGTGTGACCAAAATACCAAGGAGAGTGGAGGACAAGGGACTGTGGAATGGCCATCCCCCCTGGGAGTGATTTCTTACTTTCTGTCTCCCTGTCTCTCCAGTGGGCACACTTGTCCTACAGCAAAAATCTCTCTCAAAAATAAATAAATAAATAAATAAAATTAAAAAGTTCAAGCTTAGCAGCCATTAGGGTGGCATAGAGGTTAAGGCACCAGGTCCCACATAGCAGACTGTACAATACAAGTCCTGGACCCAGTGGCTTGAAAAATCACACAGGGCACGTGTGTATGTGCCCCAAATCCCATAGAATGGAAGAGAAGGGATTGTGATGTGGCCATCCCCCTCGGGGAGTGATCTCTCACCTTTCCTCTCTCTTTCTCTCTGGTAAGCATAAGCACCCTATAGCAAAAACTGGGGAAAAAAAAAAAAAAGTTCAAGCTTGGGCTAGCTCAGTAGCATAGCAGTAATGCTCAAGTAATGTTGGATCCATATATAAGATTGTGGGTTTGGCTTTTCAGTTAACTGTACACACTGGACATGTACCCTCGATCCTGGCTGGCTGAGAGGATTTGAGGGAGGTGCAAGGCAGGATAGTGGGATGAGACCCCATCATGGGTACTTATCTAAGAAAAAAAAAATTTTTTTTAAAGTGTTAAGTTCAAGCTCTCCATTCTTTCCTCAGCCTTCTGTAAGGTAAGCCCAGGAGCAGAGGCAGGGTATAAGTACACAAAAATAGAGAACTGCAAACTCCATTTAAGCGAAACACCGCCTGTTTGTATTTTAAATGACTAGGGTAGATGCAAAACTAAACCTGTGAGAAAACATATTTGACAAACTAGCTACTGAATGCCAGTAACAGGCACAAAAATTTAAACAGTTACTTTTATTTCATATGAGAAGACATCTAGAGATAGGTAGCGGATAGTATTGGCTCAGCTGCTCAACTGGGAACTGGCATCTGTGTGATTCTCTTGGTCCTTTCTTCTCTCATGGTTAAAAGGCTTACTCCAGCTCCAGCCATCATTTTAGTGTTAGTGAGAGAAAGAAGTAGCAGAGGTGGCCCTACTTGCAATTACCACTTTAATCGAGAAGCAGAAATTTCTACAGAAATACTGATGCCCGGGGCCTGATGGTAGCATGGCAGTAAAGCTCTGTGAGGCTGGCCAACATGCAAAGATTCTGGGATCCTATTCAGAGACTTCCCCATGTATTCTGGACATAAGTGCACCTACGAGTCAAGGCTGGCTAAAGCTGAGGGTGGATCATATCAAGACCCTGTTGGGGGATGCTGTCTTTTCCATCTCACTTCCTCATGAAATAAGGTTATTTAAATTGTAAAAAAGAAAGGTAACGAAAAAGAAGAGGAAGAAAGAAAAGAAAAAAGAAAAAAATAACAATGCCAAATCTGTGTCCAGCGACCACATACAGCTGCACAGGCTGGAAGGGTGACTATGTAGCCTTTCCAGGTTCTTTAGTGGAGACATGTGAGAACAGGGTTAGAACTGGCTGGCAAATTAGACAACTACGACTTTTCACTTATAATTAATTTTTTTTTCAAAACCGGTAGTTTATATGTCAATAAATTTCAATAATTTTAAGACTGTAATTTGAAACTCATTTCTGCTTTCAATCATGACATATTGTTAAGATGCACTTCAACTATGCTTTTTCTTCCATTTTTCCCCTTAGCTTTCTACAATGAAAATAAAATAAAAAATTTCTTTTTTCAATTTTCCAGAGGGAATGTGAACCTGTTGCAGAGAGAAAGACAAGGAACATGAGAAAGCATCTCCCATGGTCACGGTGACACCACAATCCCTTCTCGTCCATCTTCCCTTCTCTCAGGATTTGGGGCATGCACGTACATGAGCCCAGTGTATTTCTCAAGCTACTGGGTCCAGGATTCAAACTGTATAGGTGGCCATGTGGGATTCAGCCAACTTAACCAGTAGGACACTGGTTCAAAATTACTTAACTTTTTATTTTGGAGAGGTTTTTGCTATAGGGCGTGTGCACTTGCCAGGAAGACAGAGAGAGTTAGAGAGGCAGAAAGCGAGAAATCACCCCCCACCCCCCGGGGTGTGTGGCCACGCTGCAATCCCTTCTCCTCCACTCTCCTCTAGGAATCTTGGGCACACGTGCATATGCGCCCGGCATGAGTTTAAGCCACCGGGTCCAGTAAATGAACTGTGGTTGACTACATGGGAGTCCAGTGACAGCCATTACGCCAACTGCTGATCCTCAAAATTACTTAACTTTTAAGAAAGAATGGGACAAAAATTAAAAGGCTAACAGTGACAAAGTACTTCTCTTCATTGTCCTTCCACACCAAAGAGCATCTGGAAAACATTCCCACATCCTTTGGCATTTAAGAACTGATAGAGTTCACCGAAGTCCATGTGGTTCCCTCTGGCTCCATTAACGCTGAACACTTTTTCTTCAAAAGTGGAAAACTTTTTTAGTTTTTCCATTTCATCACCTGTACTATCAAAAGTAACATCTTCTCGATGGCGAATTAAAATTCTCTTCCAGTTTAATTTTCTGAGTCTGAAAAGAAAGTTTGAAAGTAGAAATTTTCAAAATGTGTTGTGTATCCTAAAGTACTGAAAATACAAGTTATATAACTTATTTATCAGTGTATTGTTCCTAGACGAAAAGAAGACTACTTTTAACTCACAGAAATTTATTTTAATTATATACGATTCTAGACATAATCTTGTTCTCAAACTCACTATTGCCACTATTATTACTGCCTCATGCCAGTATTTTAGAAATGTAGAAATTATCAAGTCTTAAATTACTGAAGGAACTTCTCAGAGGCTCATTTAGGGTGTCTGTAGACAAATGAGAAGACCAGTAGAAAATCTGTTTCTAGTGCGTCGTCGTTTCACAGAGTGTGGTTTACAGCGTTACTAAGATAAGGGAAGTCTCATATCCATGGAAATGGATGAGATCACAGACAGAGTCCTGGGTAGGGGCTCTGTGCATTCAGTGTGCAGTTACGGAAATGTCTCTGATGTCCACTCAGTCAGGTGAGGGGGGCAGTGCTCACCAATCGTGATTTATTGAACCCTTAGGAAGATCCAACCCCTCGGATGGACTTATTTCCACATCTCTAATTTCTTGTTTAGTATTTAAATCATTGACATGATATAGAAAACATGAGAAAGCAAACCTTGACCAGAATTCTTCACAGGCACTTTGTGGACCTTCCACACAAACAACACCAGGTTTCCCAGGCATGCTGAACCCAGACAGAGAAAGCTCCTTCGTCCATTCTAGAATATTCTTTCTTTTGCATTTGTTGTAGATGTGGTGGCTATAGATCCAGAGTCTAGTGAAAATAAGATCGACTGACTGTACTGTACTTCCTGTGGGAGGGGAACATGGGACATCTCTGCTGATGTAACCAGAGGCATGTTCTCTAACCCATTCTGTGGCATTCAGTATACAGACATCCCCACAGCAATTCTTTTGCAGGTATGTAGTCAGATCTGTGTTCAGCTGAGTCTGCTGGGATCTACTTAACAATACTGATCTGATGGAAAAGGTATGGGGAAAAATGAATTACTTTGGGACAGAAAACAAATGCAAAATTGGTTTTATTCTTAATTTTGACTTCTAAAGTTGGCCAGTTTCTGTAACATACCTGACAGTAATTTCAGGCAGGACTTCAGGATATTGAAAGGGAAGGATACAGGCCAGAGAAAACATCACCTGATATGAAAGAAGAAAAGAATGCTCTAAACTCTGTTTTAAATCTTGATACATTTCAATTCTTCCAAAAACAAAATTGAATTACCATTGCTTCCTGAGATACATCCAGGTGCATATTGATAGTAAAGTAAACTTTCGAAGATCGGCCCTCCATTGTCTTCTTCTCAACACAATCTTTCAGTTCTGCTAAAGCCAACTGGTCATTCACTATTAGCTCATTTTCACCAGGGAACATGCTGGCTAGCAGATCTAACTCAGAGAGCTGGGCCTCCGCCTGCTCTATCTCAATCATTTTTGGACATCAGTAAGTTTCTAAAATAGTAAGAATAAGACAATTTACATACAGAAGCTTCAGATAGTTTAGGAGATCAAGATAGGTATTTATCAAAAAATATTTGATTTTTTTCATAAAATGTGAAATGTAATTGGAGTCACTTTCCCCATTATTCTACT